GTTGTAGCCGTGTATTCTAAGAGAGGGAGAAGACATGTCACAGTTCCCTGTTGTAGCCGTGTATTCTACCAGAGGGAGAAGGGATGTCACAGTACCCTGTTGTAGCCGTGTATTCTAAGAGAGGGAGAAGGGATGTCACAGTCCCCTGTTGTAGCCGTGTATTATCAGCGAGGGAGAAGAGATGTCTCCCTGTTGAAGTCGTGTATTGTAAGAGAGGGAGAAGAGATGTCACAGTTCCCTGTTGTAGTCGTGTATTGTAAGAGAGGGAGAAGAGATGTCACAGTTCCCTGTTGTAGCCGTGTATTCTAAGAGAGGGAGAAGAGATGTCACAGTTCCCTGTTGTAGCCGTGTATTCTAAGAGAGGGAGAAGACATGTCACAGTTCCCTGTTGTAGCCGTGTATTCTAAGAGAGGGAGAAGAGATGTCACAGTTCCCTGTTGTAGCCATGTATTCTAAGAGAGGGAGAAGAGATGTCACAGTTCCCTGTTGTAGCCATGTATTCTTCCAGAGGGAGAAGACATGTCATAGTTCCCTGTTGTAGCCATGTATTCTCAGCGAGGGAGAGGAGAGGCCACAGTTCCCTGTTGTAGCCATATATTATATGAGAGGGAGAAGAGAAGTCACAGTTCCCTGTTGTAGCCATATATTATATGAGAGTGAGAAGAGAAGTCACAGTTCCCTGTTGTAGCCGTGTATTCTAAGAGAGGGAGAAGAGATGTCACAGTTCCCTGTTGTAGCCGTGTATTCGTGTATTCTAAGAAAGGGAGAAGAGATGTCACAGTTCCCTGTTGTAGTCGTGTATTGTAAGAGAGGGAGAAGAGATGTCACATTTCCCTGTTGTAGCCATGTATTCTACCAGAGGGAAAAGACATGTCACAGTTCCCTGTTGTAGCCATGTATTCTAAGAGAGGGAGAAGGGATGTCACAGTTCCCTGTTGTAGCCGTGTATTCTAAGAGAGGGAGAAGGGATGTCACATTTTCCAGTCGTAGCCATGTATTCTACCAGAGGGAGAAGGGATGTCACAGTTCCCTGTTGTAGCCGCGTATTCTTAGAGAGGGAGAAGAGATGTCACAGTCCCCTGTTGTAGCCATGTATTCTTCCAGAGGGAGAAGACATGTCACCTGTTGTAGCCATGTATTCTAAGAGAGGGAGAGAGATGTCACAGTTCCCTGTTGTAGCCGTGTATTCTAAAGAGGGAGAAGTGATGTCACAGTTCCCTGTTGTAGCCATCGTGTATTATTAAGAGAGGGAGAAGAGATGTCACAGTTCCCTGTTATATGAGAGGGAGAAGAGATGTCACAGTTCCCTGTTGTAGGCGTATATTCTCAGCGAGGGAGAAGAGATGTCACAGTTCCCTGTTGAAGTCGTGTATTGTAAGAGAGGGAGAAGAGATGTCACAGTTCCCCGTAGTAGATATGTACCCTGTAAGAGGGAGAAGAGATGTCACAGTTCCCTGTTGTAGCCGTGTATTCTAGAGAGAGAAGGAGAAGTCACAGTTCCCTGTTGTAGCCATGTATTCTAAGAGAGGGAGAAGAGAAGTCACAGTTCCCTGTTGTAGCCATTTATTCTCAGAGAGGGAGAAGAGATGTCACAGTTCCCTGTTGTAGATATGTACCCTGTAGAGAGTGAGAAGGGATGTCACAGTTCCCTGTTGTAGCCGTGTATTCTAGGAGAGGGAGAAGAGATGTCACAGTTCCCTGTTGTAGCCGTATATTATATGAGAGGGAGAAGAGATGTCACAGTTCCCTGTTGTAGTCGTGTATTGTAAGAGAGGGAGAAGAGATGTCACAGTTCCCTGTTGTAGCCGTGTATTCTAAGAGAGGGAGAAGAGATGTCACAGTTCCCTGTTGTAGCCGTGTATTCTACCAGAGGGAGAAGTGATGTCACAGTCCACTGTTGTAGCCGTGTATTCTAAGAAAAGGAGAAGAGAGGCCACCGTTCCCTGTTTTAGCCATATATTATATGAGAGGGAGAAGAGAGGCCACAGTTCCCTGTTGTAGCCATATATTATATGAGAGTGAGAAGAGATGTCACAGTTCCCGGTTGTAGTCGTGTATTGTAAAAGAGGGAGAAGAGATGTCACAGTTCCCTGTTGTAGTCGTGTATTGTAAGAGAGGGAGAAGAGATGTCACAGTTCCCTGTTGTAGTCGTGTATTCTAAGAGAGGGAGAAGACATGTCACAGTTCCCTGTTGAAGTCGTATATTGTAAGAGAGGGAGAAGAGATGTCACAGTTCCCTGTTGAAGTCGTGTATTGTAAGAGAGGGAGAAGAGATGTCACAGTTCCCTGTTGTAGTCGTGTATTGTAAGAGAGGGAGAAGAGATGTCACAGTTCCCTGTTGTAGTCGTGTATTCTAAGAGAGGGAGAAGACATGTCACAGTTCCCTGTCGTAGCCGTGTATTCTACCAGAGGGAGAAGGGATGTCACAGTACCCTGTTGTAGCCGTGTATTCTAAGAGAGGGAGAAGGGATGTCACAGTTCTCTGTTGTAGTCGTGTATTGTAAGAGAGGGAGAAGAAATGTCACATTTCCCTGTTGTAGTCGTGTATTCTACAAGAGGGAGAAGTGATGTCACAGTTCCCTGGTGTAGTCGTGTATTGTAAGAGAGGGTGAAGAAATGTCACATTTCCCTGTTGTAGTCGTGTATTCTACAAGAGGGAGAAGTGATGTCACATTTCCCTGTTGTAGCCATGTATTCTACCAGAGGGAGAAGATATGTCACAGTTCCCTGTTGTAGCCACATATTCTCAGAGAGGGAGAAGAGAGGCCACAGTTCCCTGTTGTAGCCATATATTATAGCCATATATTATATGAGAGTGAGAAGAGAAGTCACAGTTCCCTGTTGTAGCCATATATTATATGAGAGGGAGAAGAGAAGTCACAGTTCCCTGTTGTAGCCATATATTCTCAGAGAGGGAGAAGAGATGTCACAGTTCCCTGTTGTAGATATGTACCCTGTAAGAGTGAGAAGAGATGTCACAGTCCCCTGTAAGGCGATATGTACCCTGTAGGAGGGAGAAGAGATGTCACAGTTCCCTGTTGTAGCCATATATTAGTCACGGTAAGTACACAAATGATCTCATATCTCTTTCGCTTTCTTTCTATGTGTATATATTATCTGTGGTTTGAATGTTTATGCCGAAAGTTATGTTTAAGTGCGTATGAATGGATTTGTTTATTGTGTTTACCGGGTACGCTCGTGCGAACTGTTTACGTAGCTTTCTACCTGTAAATGTTGCATAATGAAGATACATAACGCTTGTTATGATAACAATATATAATACCTAATGTTGTAAAAGTGTAACAGTAATACTGTAGGGTTATTTTCATATTTTGTAGCTTCTTATATGGATAGGCTTTGTCCAAAGTGGGAAGTACGGAAGCCGGGAGACTTCATGTGTCTATAGCAGTTCTGACTCTGCTTTATGTATATAATTGAACAGTACTTGTACCAGAGTTCACAGTGCATGGTGATAGTGGGAGGTAGAGTACGCTACGCAAGCGCACTCGAGAGTAGCCAGTACGGCCACTAATTTGCCCTGTGGTTGGCACTTACATGTTGGAGACCAAGAGGTGTCGTGCCAGGTTCGTTGTTTCAAACTGAAGCCATCAGCGCTGAAAGGTACAGAACCAACGAAGCATCAGTCGGTTTGGACAACAGTTGTTTCTCCATGAAAGTGTTTTGGACAGACTTTGACAATTCTATACCATCTGTGATAACCCAACTGTGATAGGAATGTAAGGCTACAAAGACTTTAGGGTTTAGGTTTATTGGTGATACTATATTTGTGATTTGTGTGTGTATGTACTGGTGATTGTGGATTGTTTCAGTGGAAGGTGTAATGAGTGTATGGTGAACTGATTTTTATAGAAAGAAAAAAAACATAAACATAACTTGTATAAATGTAAATATATAAATATATAACAATGTGTTTGTTGTCTGTGTGGCAATCGCTCGGCTCGGTTACAGACAGTTTTACATGAAAAATTAACGAAACAATATTTAATATTTTTATATACTTTAATTGATTCAAACGTTTATAAAATATATAATAAAAGCATTTTATGAACCTGGTGACTAACAAAAATAGAAATTGGTCAACTTTGGCAATGAGATGGAATTCTTATTTTGACCCAAGGGGGACAACTCTTTCTTTCTTCTGAACTCTCGCAATGCACACCACATTGAGGTATATCGTATAGTCTTAAAATTTTAGAGACATATTGTCTTAAATATACAAGATAAATATGAATTAAATATTACATAAATAAATAAATAACAAGTCACAAAGCACAAATTAAAGCGGCATACCGTAAACATTTAGGTAGTATTCATACACATTGTATCAAAAATGCATTATGTAAAAATAAAGATTCTTTAAAAAAAATACTGTTCGATTGCTTGGCAAGAAACATTTTGATATGTACTCTTGTAAAACATTGTATAACACGAATAATTACGAAAAACACAGTTAAAACATGTTGGACTTACAAACGAGAAAGCAAAAATATAAAAAGCATGTCAATACGAGATTCCTACATCTAATGAAAGTAAAATCAAATTATATACTTACTTGAAAATATAAAAGCATACATAACACATTCTTACTGATTGCACTCTGTATAATCCGGATATTCTATATGTACCAAACCCTTAGTAAGATCGCATTTCCATCATATTCGTTACTTTATATATAAATACATATATAAATTCCCTGGGATATCAGCATTCATGATAATTTTAAAACGTAATTTTATAAAAAGGAGTAAACGTATTACATAAATAACTCCACATTACGAAACAAATATGATAAACTGAACAATGTTCCCATCGACATCGCCGTCATTGTGTCGTCGCCATAGTTACACACATTTACTTTCATCATTAATCCAGTCAACCACGTAACACAAGCGTGATTAATATAATCTACCATTATTTTCCTTTTTCCCTGACTGGGAAGATCCTGGAGAGCGAATGTTTCAAACTATCCTGAAGTGGTTTTAATTACTCAGATGGTTCTTGATAGCATTATATTGGGTCTCCAAGTTTTCGAGCGTACGATGCACGTCCTTAATAATTACAAAATTTCTTTCGCCACGTTGGAAGGCGTTTTCGGGTTGTCGCAAACTGTCTGACATGATCGAGCTGTCAACATATTCGATGTTGGCTTCAGCATTCAAGATAAGTTTTTGCAGGTTACAAAGAAGGCTTAGGCAATCAGTGTAAAGACTCTTCAATTCATCATTGTACGATGGCGACTCAAACATGTATTCGTCATACGACATTTGTTCGAGAAATACCAAGTCACGGGAAATTTTCTCGTAGCTTGACTGGTGAGCAAGCGTCATCTAAAAAATACAAATGAAAGTAATATCAGTATGGGAATGATTTTTCACAATCCTCGCACAAATTAATGAAACACAAGCATTGATACATTATTGGAAATAGATAAAAATTAAAAGAAATATATATATATTAAAATTACAATCATAAAATGGTAAATAGGTGCGATATACAAATTAAATCAATGTATTACTGCAGAGGAACTGGAATCTCTTGTTTGGAAAAATATATATACACGATAAGTACATACGTAAAATGAATGTGGAAAATGTACAAATCATTAAACTTACGTCTGAAAGTGACTGCATTATTTCTGACGAAGAGAGACAGCATTCCGGCATACCATCGAGATGCATATTCTCATATAGTGACAATTGTCCATTTGTCATATTAATTCGCTCCGTTTTCTGATTGACAAAAATAAATATTCAGTCAGCAAACTTTCTATATATGTAATTTAAAGAATATAGATAAACAATCTGTACGTGGAATTTGTCAACGAAATTCAGATAAAATTAGTTTGGATTAGAATTCCGGTTCTAAATTTATATACACGAGTTCAACTGCACTATAGATTTCATGAGCATCGTTGATAAATGATCAAATATGCTTTGATATTTACGTTTTAAAACTTTTGATTAAAAATGTAAGCCCACTTCTTTAAAAGATATTTTGAAGAATTTTTATGATATCTTAGCAAAACTTAAGAAAGAAATATTTTGAAAAATCACTTACATATTTATCTTTTAAAGCCAGAGCCTTTGTTTTGGATTCTTCGAAAATCGGAAGCATATCTTCCACAACTGTAACCGGTGGAGGTACAGGAAGGCCCGGGGGTGGGGTAGCGGCAGGACCTCCACACGGCGTTACCCAAGCAGATTCTCTAACCGGTTTTGCCAAGCCCATGGCGAGAAACACGACCAATATGCCAAAGCCTGTAAAATAATTCTTTTGAAGTGTATATGCATGTTTAATTTCTTTTTTTCAAATATGCACACTCAAGCTATTCAGTTATTTATATAGAAATAGTTTTGTTGTCTTAAGTTCTTATTTTTGAAATTAAGAGGAGTTTCCTGCATTTAAACCAATGACATTAAATATTATCTGCATACCGTACCGGATTACCGGTCCGTCTTTGTTTCAATATGTTACAAAACTCACTTAAAGCTATTATTTATCGACATTTCCCGTATTTAAATGATCCATAAAAGTAAGTTTCCTGGATCGTTAATGTCTAGAATTTAGTGGAAAATTATAAATACACAAAGTTTGATTGATAATGTAATTCATATTTAAAGTGAAAGTACTGAAACAAAGATCTATTCTAATTCGTTTCAAGCGATGTTAGCTTAGTGGATGAAATTCGAATCATGTGTACTTTTGTACATATTAAAACTAAAAACTAAATACATACACTACGGAACACAATGTGTAACACCATTTTCTACTTGTAACATCCGAGAAAAATATATTTACAATTGATGTGTTTTATAAATCAAAATGAATTTTGGATCTGTTTCTACATCTAAACCGTACAGACGATTTTAAGATCAGATAACTTTGGTAATTGGTAACAGTATCTCATATTTGATATGGTTGTATATTTTCAAGGCAAAGTTGTCTTTTTGTGAACAAAACATATTTTCAAATTTCAATATATTTCGTGATTATTTGAGAAATAAATCCTTAGGTATGTAGATGGTCTATTATTTGTTCTGTTATCAAAATCTTTGTATTACCTTTCATGAAATTATTAGCGATAGTACAGGTCGTTCCTTCCATCTTGATACTGGTTGTGTTTGAATTCGATGGTGAAACAATGTTTCAGATGAAATGAGAAGTATGATTTTTGAGAAGTTTTCCCTGGTTTATATACATGTTTGATGGGCCTTTCCTAAATTTTTAGACAGTGGTCTCTTCAGTTTTGTATGAAATTTTCCAAACGGTCGGTGTCGTCATTATTTTCCTCTCTCTGTCACGAGGAAAGTTTGGTTATTTTTATCTCTCCTGGGTTTGTTGCGGTATACAAAATACAAAATCGAAACAAGCCGTTTGTCATGTCCGGATATTATGATTGTGGGAGTATTTTGGTAAAAGAGCACATGCCCATTGAAGCATGGCAACACACATATTTATGTGTACTAGATACACACACCCACTAACAAGTGTGTCGATGTCGGTGTGATAATATCATTCAACACGGGAAATCACGCTATACAATTGGACACCAGATCTAACAAAGGCCAGATTAAGTTGACTAACTAGGAAGTGTCGTGTTATGCGGGCGGAAGATGTCGCTACCGACAGGTGTATGGGAATTATGAAATAAACCAGTAATACAACAGTTTAAGATAGACAATCCCCGTTAATAAGAGGCTAATGGTTAGACGAGATGGACAGAGTCGCACGTGGTCTGACAGCATTGCACAATAAACCGGTTCTCTACAGTTTATTTATTGTTCGCTTTTTTTATCTACGACTTTAAATTTTATATTGAAAAATTGTTAATATTTTAATGCTATATAACGGTTACCATGTAGTAATTGATTATACCACGGACATAAGTAGATATTTGAATTCGTATATTTATTATATATGGAAATTTATTCAACCTGCGATGGTTGCGCAAGCGTGGATACAATCTCAGATGGAAATCAGGATTGTTTTTGAAAACCAAATTAGAAAATTAAGACGTCCAGTAAATCTGGCGAACAATCTTTATGATAATAGTGTGTAAATATTAAGTTCGACGTTTTCTAGGATTACAGACCAATCTCAATACTGTATAGTTTCATTGTTTTAGAATTTAAGGGTTAAATGATTACAAGTAATTTTGTGAGCGCTCCATTAAAAGATATATACTTTTTCTGAAGTTGTAACATGTACTATAAACATTTGAACATTTATATGTTAATTTGGATTGGGAAACAAGTGTGCGCTGATAAATACGATTACAATATCTTGAATGGTCCTGTGCTTACTATTATTTTGCCACGAAATAATCAATCTTTCTGTACCTTTGGGTGGTTGATAAAAGAGAGGAACTTTCTATCAGATTCTTTATTCGCTGAAGTTTTACAATTTATCACAGTAACAAAATCTATTTTGAAATATTTACATTGACTAAAACACCGCGACACTTTAATCTTTCCTTCACTTCTTTACTCCAAATCATTCCCTTCATACACATGCTCTTACACATTCACGCGAACCGAATAAGGATACAATATATGTATATAATTTTGTTTCAAAATCTTGCGCTTAATGGAATGTTGATCGAAGGGGATTTCTTCCTCGAGGTGATATTTTGTATAATCATATATTGTTTATACTTTTGTTCTGATTACCCGACAAAATCTTAATTATGACTGGTCAACAAATACTTGCGTCTCTCAGATAGCTGGGGAACGTACCGGTCTCTATTGACGTGTTCGTGTCCTTGGGCACGACACTTTAACGCAAGTATTCTCGGCGGTATGTGGCGGGTCTTCTGTATGTTGTTCAGCGAGGTAGCCACCTACAAGGAAACCCGCCTAAAAAGATCTTGATTGTTTCAACGGTGATGGCGATACTGTATCCTGTCAGATTAAACAAGATATGTAAAATATCTGACCTGACGCACTATATAAGACATTTTATCAAAGATATAAGATATTTTTATATAAGTTACAATAAAGATATTTTGATTAAACATAACTAATTGTCAAATAGACAAAACTCTTTTCAATATGATCAATTTAAATCACTTGATAACAAATCTACAAGTACATTAATGTATATGCATGAAATCAAGTTTTAATCTTTATCCATATTAATAAGAAGTGCCAGGGAGTGTACAGATTATGCAACATCTTTAGAGTATAAACAGTACGTCATTTTAATACATGTATTAGATATTTCATAAACACATATCTATGATGTATCAAATATCTAAATTATATATATATATATATATATATCTACAGCAGTCGAACACAGCTAATATAAGAAATCACTTATTTTCTTTACGAGTGGTAAAGACATGATATAGCCTACCAGAAGGTATGAAAACAGACTGGTTTCACACTGGGCCAACCAGGACATTCTGTCTTATTATAGAGCTGGCGCTTAGGTTTAATGAAGAAAATGATGTTAAATTTCATTTTGTATCTTACATATATATTGTTTTATATTTTTCAAATCTGGTGAAGAGGATAATGAATCCCCGTATCAGAAATTAAACTAACAAAACTAAACTTAACTAACAAAAAAACCTAAACTTGATATATGTTTTATAGTATATTTGTGTAAATAAGGACTGATACCGACAGCGCGGTCAATATACTTTTCCATTTCTTCTGCGCTCACCCCCTTCCCTTAATGGAGACAAAACATAAACTTAAATAAAACTATCTTATGTGGGTCTGCTTGATGTTCTGAAAACATATCTCCCTTCTGCCTAATGCAGACGAAGATTTCTAATGCATCGATATGATTAGATACGAGCTCTACATTACTCGTTAAATGGATGTACACTTAGGTCACTGCAAGCACGTGTTCTATTTTTTGTTTAATCGATAAACATGACGAGGAAGAAAAACGGAAATCGAATTAGTTTTCAAATGTCTAGGTTGAGTTTTTATTTTAGGAGAGCTACCTTAAGTGGGTCGTAATTACAAAATCCTTGTTCTATTACAATGAGAGGAATCACCACATCAAAGTACTTTTAAAATCATCCCATAGTTCATGACGTAAACACGATGCATGATGCAATTGACGTCAGTATGACACATATAGTATTTTGAATACGAAGTTTTCTTCAAATTTTTCCTCAAACATGAAGCGACATGGTATCGAGGTCAAATATAAGGTACATAATCCGAAAGTGATAGTAACCTCTGGAGTATTGAGAATGATAACCTCTTTCTCATTGCCCTTCCTACCTTTTCTCCTTCGCTATTAGAAACGAAATGAATCATTTTCATTTTTGGGATAGATTCAAACAATTATGTAACAACCTCTCATGTCTGCTGTGTTTGAAATCGGATCTGTCCCTGCAGATTCAGTGTCTATAACAATATTTTAATAATTGTGAAAGGTGATGGATATGCGATATATGTAATATAGATGTATGGAAAAAATATGGAATGAGATAGGGCCAACTTAGTCTGAGGTCGTCTTTTTCATATTTTACGCATCGCTGATAGTAAATTACTAACATTACGATTATAATATAAACCGGAAGCAGAACAACGGACATGCCAGACCAAGGATGAATACGTGTACCGTTATATGGATTTATACAGGACAGGTATATCTGTGTGAAAACTGGTCCATAAATAAAACAAGTCAGGGTTTTCCAGTTTCACCCTAAGTAACCATCGCTTGACCTCGTAATAGCGCCAGGGCACTCCCACGGTATATACACATACGATTTAGAGTGACCTAAATCTTGACCATCGAGGTCCATAACAACACCATGTGTCATCGCTTGGGGTTTTTGGAGAAATCATCCTAACGATGTATCGAAAGAAACGGTATCTATATACAAATCGAAAGTGGAGAAAGTGACATTAGCAGAGTAATATAGAAATAGTTTGTTGTCTGCATTTTCTGCAAGTGAGAGCTTATAGAAAGAAAAGTGGAACTAAAACAAATAAATAAGATAAATGTATATATAATGATATTGATGGAATGATAGAATGAATGAATGAATGAATGAATGAATGATGTGATTCTTTGGTGGGAAAAGTAATGTAAAGAGACCAGAAAAAGAAGCAAAGAAAAGGAGATAGAGGGATGCGAGGGGCGAAGGGCAAATGATAAATCTTTGTAGAAACATTTCAGCTTTAGATAATATTCTATACCCAGGTCTGGGATGTACATTGTATTTTGCTTTTAAAGGTTTTTGTATAAAGAATATTTCACGATTACGAGAATAAAGTTGCAGAAATTCAAATGTATTTTTGAAAATGAATTGTGACTTGTATTGTGAATGTTTAATAGAAATAAATAAATGGTTAGACTATTTTCCTTTTCTTGACACAGAGGGCACTTCACCTTCGTTATCGAAAAAGGACATGTCATCGATATTTATCTGGCCAATAGAAAGCCATGTTAATGCGTTGGTAAGTCCGTGCCAGTTGGGTAGATATTTCAGCACACACTTGTTCTGGATTGCTGACATTTTAACACTTGTCTGTATTATGACCACAGCTGTGTATGAAGAAAACACGGAAAGGATTTTATAATCACACTAGGCGTGGCAGAATTAAATGACCTGCAAAATTCCTGACCAATCAGCGCGTTTCAGTTGGTAAATCAGTTCCTTCTTGAGAAATAGAACGTGTTTATTTTTTAAACGTTTTATATATTTAATAACAATTTAAACATGTTCACTTTTATTCCAAATAAATAATAAGAAAAGTAAATTAACAAATGAACTACATTTAACCCCACATTACGAAAAACATGGTTACATTTTAATTTTTTAACTGGCCATTGATATGAGATACCAGTATAATTATGGTATTCATCAATGATTGGGTTCAATCTCTTAGTTTTAATCGGTCTTCAACACAGAAGTGCGTGTTTTTACTTCATTATTTGGAAGTATTTTATTTCTTGTTCTTAAGAATTGTGACTGCGAGCATAGTATTCCAGCAATTTAATGCACGTGTGCGTTTATCAGTATTTCATAAACACATACACAAAACACTATCCCCACCCCTACACAGCAACCTCCTCAATCTCATTAAATAATTACATGCCATTTAGCTTCAAGAATTCCCATTACCATTTCA